GGCCTTAGGTTGCCTACCCCTGGCATAGATGGTCCTGACTGTTATTCTACGATATTTGTTTATACCTGAGAATCTTATCTAGCTGCTTCATAGCTACTCTTCTTAATCCTCTGATTTCTTTACTAGTCTCCAGTTTGATTCATGCAACATAGTTACATATTAATATCTTATTTACTTTAAGTGCTTGTCTTTGTTACATTTCCTATTTCTGTCATCTGCCCAGGATAACCTAGTACATTTTGCAAGATTGCCCATTAGAAAAACATAAGCCAGATTTCCTTTCTCACAACATTCATTTTGATCCATGAAGATGGACAAAGAAGTTGGGACTGTTCATAAACAGGAATGAGGCTGTGGTGTCTGAAGCAACACAAACTAGCAATTATGGTTTATCAGTGGCTACCAGATCCATAGCTTGCAAAGTTACTTTTAAAAATAATTTGTTATAGTTATAGCCCTGAGGCAAACAAAAATGTAATGATGATGACTTAACATTTTCTTTTGAAAAGTTCTTCTTATATTTCTTGTTCTGAAAGCAACTAAAGTATTTATCTTTTTAAGGGGCTTTGCAGACCGGCCCAAAGGGCTGGCCAGGGGATGGAGTTGGACCAGAGCAGCCATATGCTGCCCACCCCAACCCCACCCTGACACCGTCCTAATGCCGCGCGGCTGTTTGCACAGTGTTCAGCATCAGGATGACCTCCCGGCGCAGCCTGCAGACACATTGTGCCGAAAGGGCACAGAAGAACCGCAGCGCCAGCTCTTAGGGCAGCCTTTTGCCACCCCTAAAAGAAGCGGCATTTTGCTGCTCTTTTAGGGGCAGCAAAAGGAAGGATCGAGGCTGCAGCATGGGGTTGCTGTGGCCCCGATCCACCACTAGCAGGGGCAGCCCAGAGCCACCCGTCTCCATAGGCTCTTAGTTACTTTTTAAAATATGACTATAAGAAATCATTGGTCTGTGGTACAAAGTCAGTTCCATCTCTGTATTACTTCAACACCCACACAAGCAGCAGAACAGGGCATGGCAGAAGGCAGCATTTCAAACATGTTATATTTCTCCTTCACATTTAATAAAACCATCTGTAACAATAAAGGTAACTAAATAATTTACAGCACAATAAGTGTTTAAATTATCTCTAGTTAAGTTATTGTTACAATTTTACTTCCTTATACCTTAGTTATTTCTAAGAGGGATTATACAGCTCTGACTAAGCAACAATCTGAAGACGTGTTTTGATATTAGGCATTGTGTCTGAACAGATAAATCATAATTTGGGCAGTTGCTCATGTTTTGGAAGCTGTTTTGAATAGTAATCCCCTGGGAAATTGAGGAAGAGGGAAACTGAATATGATGGTCTGCCTTTGGATTTGAAACACAAATGGCAGTTTCACACCTTAACTATAGTAAGCACAAAGCATTGTTTGGTACTGTCTGAATCACTCCCATGAGCTTCAATGAGATATCATGCCAAATCATGATTAAAGCAGTGGCATCATTAGTGTGTGCATGTGTGTGTGTGTGTGTGTGTGTGTGTGTAGTGGTGAGGTTCACACTAGGTGGTACCTCAGAAGAGCAGGTGGATCCCTCTGCCCCTGGTCTCCCTATGGTTGGCCCCCCTGCCTTCAGTCCCTTCTGGTCCTCTGTTTCATGCTTCTGTCTGTGGGCCTCCCTTGGTTCACCTGAAGGATGCATTTGGGCCTATTTCATCATGGTGGCAGGTGGTCTCCTAGTGAGAAGGCCACCACCACTGTGGCAAAGGAGGTGAGCCACATCCCATTTTGCCCGTCCACACCAGGTGACACTAGGGGTGGGGATGCCACTGGTTAATGAAATTTAACTGTGATATGGCATCATATCTGACTTGATAAACTATGGGTTGTGATGGGCTAGCATTCCATACTCACATACCATATTTTGGTGTAAGACAGAAAACAATGGAAACCATGGCCTGGCATAGTGCATTAACTGTAAAAACATACTTAAAGTTGTTGTTGTACTCTAGAGTTTGCTGTTCAAAACAGAAACTCTGAACTATTGCCAAGATCCTACATCAGAGACATAGTTACAAACAGTGGCATCACTGAGGGGATGTGGGGAATGTGGACCACATTGGGTGACAACCCAAGGAGGGGTGGCACCTTTGGTGCAGGAAGGTTTAACATACATCTTTACCAGCTGCTTCATCACCAGCCTGGTGATGGAGCAGCTGGAGCAGTGAATGCATGCCCTTCCCAGTTGCTCCATCAACAAACTTTTCCCCAGGGAAGAAGCCTGGCAACAGAGGAGAGGAGGGACAAATGAGCACCCTTCTTGGCTGTTCCATTGCCAGATTTTCTCCCTGTGGAGGAAGCCTGACAATAGAACAGCAGGAGGGGCAAATGCAACCTCTTCCCACCAGCAATCTCCAGTGTGGCTAGGAGTTACAATGGGTCCTTCTTCTTACACCACAGATCTCTGGTGGGAGGGGGTTGGAAATATCATTCTGTTGCACCCTGATTTGCAGCAGAATAGACCTCAATTTCTTGATGCAGTCAAGGGTTGTTAAGGTGGGGGGCATTTGCAATGGTGGCAGTAGTACCACAGTTGTGAATATGGAGCATGGCTGAATATGGAACAGTTATGAATCTGTAACTCTAGT